GGCAGTGATTGATGGAGGAAGGCACTGAGGGGAAGAGGCAGGGAGGGATAGAAGCGGTGAGGGAGTGTTGGTGGTGGTAGGTTATCTTGATGTTATCTTGAGATGATTTCGGAGCTTAGTGTCCCCGCGGTCCGGTCCTCGACCTGGCCTCCTTTTTGTTACTCACCCCCTAGGAAGCAGCCCGTAGCAGCTGTCTAACTCCCAGGTACCTATTTACTGCTGGGTAACAGGGGCATCAGGGTGAAAGAAACATTTTGCCTATTTGTCTCTGCCTCCACTGGGGATCGAACCCGGAACCTCAGGACTACGAATCCGAAGCGCTGTCAGGCGTCAGGCGTGGTGGTGAGGGAGAGTGTTGGTGGTGGTGGTGAGGGAGAATGTTGGTGGTGGTGGTGAGGGAGAATGATGGTGGTGGTGAAGGAGAGTGTTGGTGGTGGTGGTGAGGGATGGTGGTGGTGGTGAGGGAGAGTGTTGGTGGTGGTGGTGGTGAGGGAGAATGATGGTGGTGGTGAGGGAGAATGATGGTGGTGGTGAGGGAGAATGATGGTGGTGGTGAGGGAGTGTGTTGGTGGTGGTGGTGAGGGAGAATGATGGTGGTGGTGAGGGAGAGTATTGGTGGTGGTTGTGAGGGAGAATGATGGTGGTGGTGAGGGAGAGTGTTGGTGGTGGTGGTGAGGGAGAGTGTTGGTGGTGGTGAGGGAGAGTGTTGGTGGTGGTGGTGAGGGAGAGTGTTGGTGGTGGTGGTGAGGGAGAGTGTTGGTGGTGGTGGTGATGGAGAGTGTTGGTGGTGGTGGTAAGGGAGAGTGTTGGTGGTGGTGGTGATGGAGAGTGTTGGTGGTGGTGAGGTGGGCGGTAAAGGAGGCAGTGGCAAGGATTGCTGACCAGGCCATGGTTGCCATACATCTCACCCATACTGTATTAAAATTTTTAATCTTAGCAGTAAAATATTTATGCCAAAATATGTTAATTTTCGTGTATTACTATACATTATCAATAATTGACATTTTTATGGTTTCCTGTTTTTTAATTAAACAAATGTAGGTTTATTTATGAATTATGCACAGTTGGCATCTGTGAGCGGGCGCTGACAGACATGTCCCCACCTCTATGCCTAGCCTCGACCCCGTTAGTAGCTCCCTCGACCCCATTAGAAGCTTCCTCCTCCATAGCCTGCTGTTCTTCATGTTATGAGGAAGGCAGTGAGGGAGGGATGGGAGGCAGTGATTGAGGGAGGCATTGAGTGGGAGAGGCAGGGAGGGAGGGAGGGAAGAATGGGGGTGAGGGAAGAGTGGGGGGGGATGAGGGAAGAGTGGGGGGGGTGAGGGAAGAGTGGGGGTGAAGGAAGAGTGGGGGTGAGGGAAGAGTGGGGGGTGAGGGAAGAGTGGGGGGTGAGGGAAGAGTGGGGGTGAGGGAAGAGTGGGGGGTGAGGGAAGAGTGGGGGGTGAGGGAAGAGTGGGGGTGAGAGAAGAGTGGCGGTGAGGGAGGGAAGTGTTTGGTTAACCCTCAAACCGCTAGGGGCCCAAATAGAATTAACACCCACAGGCGCAACAAAAAAAAAAATCCCAAAAATTCTTTCGTCTTATAGAAGTGTTCATTTTTGTTCCCTGATCACAGAAAAAATAACAAAAAAGTCGTAGGTGGCATATTTTAGCAGCAATAAGGTAGGGAAGTGTGGCAAAAAAGGGGCGTTGACAGAGTCTTCGCCAGACGAGGTCTACTCCGCTCGAGCTGTCAGGCAGCAATTGCCACAAATATATTATTACCTAATTATTTCAATGTCTCTGATTGATTTTTTCTTAGTTTTTTGCAGTAATATTATTCCATACAGTGAATTGTGATATATTTATATAATATAATGTGTGAACCATCACTGTACTCAAAATTATGGTGTGCATATTAGTGATTCAATTATTATGTTCATAAAACAATAAACAAATAGTTTTGCTGTTGTTACACTATATACACAGGTTATATATAGGTATTTGCATGTTTTGTTCACCATAACGAACCACTAAGTTGGTCTTGTGAGTCAAAAAGCAACGAGGAGTGACTGCCACACACCAGCCAGCCACTCGCTGCCACTCCCTCCCTCAACAACACCTCACTCGCCCTCATTCTCCTCCCACAACACTGTTTTTGCATTTATTCACTATACACAGACGTTATATATAAGTATTTACGTTTTGTTCACCATAACTGAACATCTAAGCTTGTATGGTGAATAAAGACACGAAGACGTAGCTACTCACACAGTCAGCTGGTGGCTGCCGCCCTCAAGGCCAGACGCACTAATATTTCTCCTCCAACAATATTGTTTGTGGTGTTATTACGCTATATACACACATTATATATAAATATCTACCTGTTTTATTCACCATACCTGTACAAATAAGCTGGTATGGTGCCCAAAGACCATAGTGGCCACCAGTAAACAACATGACAAGTCGTGCAGACGACGCTCCTCCCTCACCAAAATGGCGGCTCCCAACCTACTCCTCTTGCTGTTATCACACTCTATACACATGTTATATATAAGTATCTACATTTGTGTTCACCATAGCGAACCGCTAAGCTGGTATGGTGAGTGCAGTCAATAAATGGTGGCCACACAGTCAGAAGACGACGCCACAACCCTCCCTCCACAGCCTTACTCCTCCCTCCATGGAGCACAGCGCTAAATATCACCACAATCCTGTTATTATCAGAATCCTGGTCAGTTTTATCACAGTCAGGGGTCTTCAGTAATACTATCACTGCTAAATAATAGCAGTATCATATATATTATGGCATTTGTAGGCGATGCTGTGGTCACAAGCTGAACAGCGGTGCTGTGAGCTCGTGCTGCATGCGCCAGCCTTGGTGGCTTCCTCAATACTGATGCTCTAACACCCAAGAATGTTGGCCTGGATTTTGTTTCTAGGTAGCATTTGGCAACTATAGCTGCCCCTATCCCAGGTGGGGCGTTTAAATTATAGCGCTAGACACAAAATCATATATATATGATGTGCACGGTTTCGGTTTTGTCACTGATATCATATATATATGATTTGCGAGGTTTAAGGGTTAATATGGTTCACTTGTTGTGTGATGTGTGTTCACACTTGGTGTGTTCACTTGTGTGATCCAACTTGTCTTATGAAAGAATTATTAATTGTAACCTGTGATAGAATGGGCACTAACATAGGAACTAACTTGCAACGCAATTACACAATGAACTTTATTTCATTTTCGTTATATAAAATATATCTTACCTGAATGTTACTTGAAATATTACCGACACTAAAACAACTTTGGAAATACTGGTGTGTCGCATTTATGCTATGAATATGTCAATTTATCCCCCTAGAGTTTTTCAGATATTTCTCAATTTTTTTTTAACATTTTTAGTTTATTTTTTCCTCCATTTCTCATTTAAGAACTTACACGATAACCAATGGGTCTCGTCTCCAAGGGGTTCGGAAACCAAGTGGTGCTCTGTAGCGTGATATATCAAATGAACAAATCCACAAGGGCCGTGGATGAGGATTAGACTTATGGCCGGGATGATCCCAGATGCACCTTGGTCAACTGTGCCACAACATGGTTAAAAGAATTGCAACCTAGAGTGCTACTGCCCTCACGAGGATCCTGCAACTTTTCCAATGCACAAACTGGGGTTTCACACAATTTCCCCCATGCACCCTGGGCTTGGTCAACCAGATGTTCTATCTCTACGCCCTTACTTCAATACACACACAAATCACAATAGTGTTATATATCAAAATCATACTAATCAATGAATACTATACTGTATATTCTTTTAATCATGTTGTGGCAAAGTTGACTAAGGCGCGCCCGGCTGGCTCACTCAGTACTGAGACCCCTCACACCCGGGAATGTTGCCCACGATTTAAAAAAAAAATGGAGTCTGTTTACAAGAGCCCTGAGGAAGGTGATGTGAACCCCGTGTATCTGCGGACCGTTTAAATCTTGCGTAGTACTCCAAAACTGCATATGCAATGATGCACACTTTTGCGTCAGTTACTCAAAACTTCATATACAGTGTTGTGCAGTTTAAGGGTTAATGACAATGTGATGTCTCATTTCAGACAAGTGTTACACTGTAGGGAAAAACAAGTGTCGCTAGACAGGTTTTTAGTGAGAAAAACAAGCAGTGAGCCAGAAGCAGGTCCTAGTGGTATGCAGGTAAAACATGCCAGAGAGTGTACCCCAGAGAAGTCATCACTACCTGATGTTATATTGGAAGGGGGCTCTCCTTTCAAACACTAACACTTCTCCTCTTCCCCCCCCCTCCTCACCGTCTTCCATACGCCAACAAGAGTCATCAGTAAAGGTAAGTAATAACTTGTACATATTTTAGTACTGAAGATTTGGGTGAATTAGGTATAAAATTTACTTTGAAGTTAATTTTTTGGGGTAGTCTGGAATGGATTAATTCAATTAAATTATTTTTTTATGGGGAAATTCGCTTCAGTTTACGAATACTGTATTCGGCTTACGAGCCATCTCTGGGAACGGATTAAATTCGTAAGCTGAGGTACCACTGTATATGATATAATAATACCTACATTAAAATTTAAAATAATCAATATTTTTCATAGCATTAAATTAATGAGATGGTATAACACTATACGATGCATACAGCAATACAAACTATTGTTCTAAAGCATTGGGATCATTTTACTAAGGATGCAATTGAGTCTTGGAAAAAGCAAATGAAGGCAAATATTAAACCATATCAAGAGGCAGAAGAGGACACCTGTGCAGCAAATAATTGAAGAATGGCTAGATGAAACCACATAGTTGAAAATATGTTATTTGTTATATCAAATAAGAATCAAGAAGTCAGAGTGTGAAGATTTAAAGAAATACATATAATAGTTTATAATCACAAAAGAACATTAAACAAAAGGCATTATACTGGACAACACTGAACTATGACTCAAGTGTCTTCATCTCTGTCAACTTAATTCTTGTGAAACAGTCAGGATGCATCCTACCTGCAATTGGCTTGACCACCACACCAGACACACCAAGAACAACCCCCATAACGAATGTGTGACCAGCACGAACCATAGTTAGTGGAAATGAGCTTTGCATATCCAGCCTTTGTTCACGCTTCTGAAAAATAAGAGCACCGATGTAATAAAGCACCTGTTTTAAGACAGTTTCTCAGTAGTTTCCAGATCTTATGGTACTGGTATCTGAGAACCATAATTGATACACTTGGCTCATTAGACTATTTTGACCAACCAGAAACAAGGACCAATATCGTGTTCCCTATATGTAATATGTTTGGATAAAGAATCAATCCAATATTTTACTACAGAGGTGAACTGCCTGAAAGATAAAAAACCAGCATTGAATGTAATGAAACTCCATTTTCTGGGTGAGCCCCAGAGATTTCCTGGAGCTATTGGCTAATGAGTGATATATTAGTCTAGGGGCATTAGTCTATGGAGTTCGACCTACTGGGGACCACCACAAGACAGAACCTGGTTCCCCCTCAGAGAGGTTGCAGGAAGCAATGGCCCTGGAAACCCCCTCCCCCCTGTGGTTGGGAGTTTTCCTATCTGCCATCTGCTACCTGATTAGGCACCCAGAAAGGTAGGCATAACAAAACAAACCACACATGGTAAGAAAAGTACAAAGAAAAACTGAACAGAGAGGTAGAACTCCCTCCAATCAAAAGGAAACAAGCAAACATTATACTCCACTGCCTCGCCGCTTGTCCACGCAGCTCTCCTAGCACCGGCTACCCAGCACTACAGTTCAGAAGCTATCAAACAATGCAAAAAAAAATGCCGACTGGAGGGAAGGAGGGAGGGAGGGTTGCCAGGGAGCCTCCGGGGCTCACCCAGAAAATGGTGTTTCATTACACTTCCGCTGGTTTTCTGTGGGGAGCCCCTTCGGCTCCTTGGAGCTACATAACCAAAAATAGGGAAAAGAGGGACATACCCGGGAGTTGGCTGCCACAAAATTCTCAATGCAGTCAAGATAACTGGCTGCAACCTGTGACCCAAAGCAACACATAAATGCCCAGGAGCAGGAATGTTAACCAAATAACTGGCAGCCAGGACTCTGTTCGATCTCCAAAATCCCTGCGCTCAAATATCAGCCCACAACATGGCAGCCAATGCAGCAAACTTCCTAACATCATGAGTACGAGGATAGACCACAGGCTTGCTACACTTTATAACACTGCAGATGACCTGGGAGACCTGAGCCCTGGAGCAGGGAACGAGTGAAACCAAATCAACTCAAAGCACATCCCCTGCCACCAAAGCCGAAGCGCACAGAGAACGGCGGAAAGCTGCAACCGGACACAACACATGATGCACCCCTGGCCTGACCAACCAAGCATCAATGATCCTAGGACCCCTCTGGAAAACAGCCATCTAATTCTTCGCCAGAAAAGAAGGAGAAGGCAAACCTACTACCATGACTGAAAGAGCAGAAACCCCTGTGCCGGAGGAGAAAATGCAGCTCCCCTGACCCCCAGAGGCGAATGCAACAGAAACAGAGCCTTGGAAAAACAATCTGGAACCAAAGGGGCCACCACAAACCGAGGAGAGGAAAGATAGTCCAAGGATCAGGATGGCTCAGGTGGCGCATGAGGTTATTTTGAGATGATTTCGGGGCTTAGCGTCCCCGCGGCTCTGTCCTCGACCAGGCCTCCTTTTTGTTACACACACCCCCAGGAAGCAGCCCTTAGCAGTTGTCTAACACCCAGGTACCTATTTATTGCTAGGTAACAGGGGCATCAGGGTGAAAGAAACTCTGCCCATTTGTTTCCGTCTCCATTAATCTAAAAGATTATAATAATGTACAATGTCAAGACTTGAAATAAGTAAGAAAGGGCAAAGACATGATAAACTAAACAAAATTATAATAAAATTAAACTACCAGAATGAACTATAAATCAAATTACAGGGCCTACTGTGGACTATACAGTGTACAATTGAACAGCTGAAAGGTTGCTATTTAACAGAGGCCGCAGCTCCTTCATATATAAGGATTCCATATATAAAGGAGCTGCGGCCTCTGTTAAATAGCAACCTTTCAGCTGTTCAATTGTACACTGTATAGTGCACAGTTGGCCCTGTAATTTGATTTATATTTCATTCTGGTAGTTTAATTTTATTATAATTTTGTTTAGTTTATCATGTCTTTGCCCTTTCTTACTTATTTCAAGTCTTGACATTGTATATTATTATAATCTTTTATTTAGGATATATAATACATTTTTTGGTATTTAATTTTATTTAATAATTGAGTTTTTATAAGATTTTGGTTAATACTTTATAATTGTCGTTTATTCTGTTTGTATTTTATATACATTTTTGTAGATTTGTAGACATTATATGAATATTTGTTATAGTGTTTAGTATCTATGTGTTAGGTATCAAGTTTCACTTCTGATCACTTCACGTAAGTTTAATAGAATGGTTTGTTTTAGTAGTTATAAATTTCGTCTTGTAGTTTAATGGATTTTTAAATTAGCTTTTATATATGTGACAGTTAATAAGTTTTATTTATATTGATCACTTTAAGTGCACTTAAGTGTTTTGTTTTTAAGCATTTTCCTTTCTTTGATAGGCAATTATATTCAGTATGAGTTCTTTGTTTACTAGTTATTTGATTGTGATTTCTGTTTTTTCTTTTAGATCTGATGATGAATACGAGAAGTATTCGAAACGTTATGCATTTTAAAGTAAAGAATCTGAAACAAGATGTTCAGTATATCCCTGGTTTTCCTATTTATCTAAAAATTAAGATTCCCGAAGGGAACATCGATCATTCATATATATATATATATATATATATATATATATATATATATATATATATATATATATATATATATATATATATATATATATATATATATATATATATATATATATATATAGCACCACATGCAGGGGATTTCCTGTTAGCAACCCCAATGTCGGCAACTGGCACGCGTCTCACACCACACGCCCTCCGAATTGCTGTGGCCCTCCGCCTTGCTGCCCCAATCCACACACCTAACGCCCCGTAACTCTGATGCTCTTATTGGTCGCCCAGATGGTATCACAGTGAATCCCTGGAAGAATGGCAAGCAGTTGGTATGGGACTACACGTGCGTATCAACCCTGGCTAACACCTACATTAACCTCAGTGTTGCACAACCAGGTGGCGCTGCCACCCACAGGGAAGCAGCCAAATCCCGTAAGTATAGAGAACTGGATCACCACTACAATTTTGTCCCCATTGCTTCTGAGACACTCGGCGCCTGGGGTAAAAGTGCTACCAGTTTTTTGAAGGAACTGGGTTCTAGGCTCATTGAAACAACAAGGGACCCAAGAGCTGCAAGCTTTCTTTTCCAGCGCCTCAGTGTGGCGATACAGAGGGGAAATGCGCACTGCATCCAGGGTTCCTGCCCGCCATCTGAGGAGCTGGAGGAACTCGACAACCTATGATAACCATCTTTGTAACCCATATGTAACTCCTTTTTTGTAACAAAGTTCAAATAAAGTAAATATATATGTGTACATACAAAAGAATGGGGGTGGTAGGAGAAGATAATATTAGTGTTCAGTGAGAAACCACAAGGTCTCCTCTGAATACTTTTTATTTTCTTCTCCGAGGCTATGGGTCCCCACATTGGCACCAGAGGTGGTACCCTCACAAACTTTTATATATATACATACATATATATATATATATATATATATATATATATATATATATATATATATAATATATATACATATATATATATATACAATATATTACACACATGTGCATAACATACACATGTTCACACACAGAAAAGTACACAAATGACAAGCCGCCGATCAGTGAAAAGAGAGCACCATGCCGGCCAGTGGGCAGAGGCACCAAGAAAGCACAAAACTGCTCCAAAATGTCCACCTAGACAACAAAACCCCAAAGCCCCGGCATGACCATTTACAACACGTGCAAAGACCCAAAATGAACAGCCTGTAAGCCAGGAAGACCCCAGAACCCCAGAAGGCAGAACCGGGTCTCACACAAGGTAACAATATCCCCTGAACCCACAAAGGGGGCCCAAGAGGAAGAAACCTCCAAAACGAAACCAAAGCACCCAAAGGAACCTGGAATTGAACCAAGGGGAGCCCAAACCACCACATTTGCCGCCGGAAATCAGAAAGGGCAAAGCACAGCCCCCAGACAGAACCCCCTGGGAAACGGTCAAAACAGATTGAAACCCAAGGGACAAGGTGTGGGAGCAGGCATAAACAGACAGGGACACTGAGCCCAAACCCCAAGGCCCAGACCCAAAACAGACAGAAAACACAAAAACAGATGTAAAAATCAACACCCAAGCATTCCCAGAGGAACAGAAGACGGGAAAAAAACACCAGAAAAAACAAGAAACTGCAACAGGAGGATAAAACCCCTTAAAAGAGGTGAAAACTCACCCACACACCCTCGCTTGCACACCCAGGCGCCGGTAAACAAACCACAGTGCCGCCGGTGGCCAAACGGGGAGTTATCGGCAGAAAAGAAAATGGCCACCAACCAATGTGAGCCGTGACCGACGCAATAGAGTTGAAAACACGCCAGCAAATGTGGGAAGTAAGCAGACTAGAGGGACGAAAAACCCTGCCCCAGAAGCAGAAGACCCAGGCAAGGGCAAACAGCCCCAGAACTGCTAGCGGGCATCCCCACAGGCCTGGGAACCCGCAACAGAGGCCCTGGGGCAGAACCGTCCTCCACGCCCTCTGCCCTTAAAGAAAAGGAAGAGTCCAGGGGAAAGGCAGCAAAGAAAGGTCCGCTGGTAAGACCCAGAAGCCTTGGCAGGAAGAACAGGCTCGAATACCTCCGTCCCCAACCCGAACGGGGCAGCCCCCGAAGCCGCCCGAGTCTCGGCACCAACTAAACCCTGTCCCGACCCCGAAACTGGCAGACGGTCAGGAACCGGGAACAGGGAGGGGAAAGGGGCAAACAGCACCTAACCAAAACGGGACGGCCCCGGAAGCATCCAGGTGGGAAACCAACCTAGCGCGTTGCAGCAATCTAAACCGACGTTGCAATGCGGTTGACGCCAGTACTCTGAACAGAAAGGACACCAGGAGAGTACTGGAGAACAAGCAGAGAACACAATTCGCAAGACTCTGGGTCAAGGTGTCAGTGACCCAACAGGCAGCATGACAGAGGTAAAAGTGGCGACTGTCACCCGGAGACAAGGGCACAGCAACCAACGAACCCGCACAAGATGGGTTGGAATCCGTAAGACACATCTAGTGGTCCACCGAGCCCCGACAGGGTTTTCCAGGGCTCGTAGGCTGACTGCTATGGGAAGCCCAGGCAAGGTGTTGCTAACCGGTTAAAACCCAAAACTAACAAGGGGTAGATGCAACACTGAAAACCCCTGCGACGTGTACAATCACGAGGACCTAGCATAGGGCCACCAAACACTACCAGTGGAACTACAGCAGCACACTAGGCAGACCCCCACCAGGCAAATGAAAATAAAAACAAAAGAAAAACCCCACAAAAGTACACCGTCTCCAGAGGCAACAGGAACTGGTCGCCACGTAGGTAGGAGGTCGCGCAACATCTTGACGCTCTAACCAGCACAATACCTGTCCCTACCCAAGGCCAAACAAAGGCCCCAAGCCCCAGCTGGCCCCAAGGGTGAGGCAAATGCCAAGCAGCAAGAACCTCTATGGGAATGGTTCCCGAATGCCCCAGGGAAGATAACCCTGTCACGCAGAGCGAAGGGTTATCTTAAGCACATGCAGCCCTGGTACTGATGAGGAACACCTGGCCACCGCACAACACAACACACGGCAGTGAACGCCACGAAGGCAAACACCACCTAGGAAACTGAGGCCAGAGAAGCATCTGTCCCAGTTGACATTAGCTTACGAACTGAAGTGCTAGGCAGCCGGCGTGGTGAGGTCCGGGTCCCCAACCCTCCCCCTCTCAGGGAGGGGACGGGAGGGCTGCATGGATGAGTGGTGCAGCAGTAGTGTGTTACGTTTGCTTGTTTGCTTGTTTCCTTAGGATTGTAGGGAGTTCTACCTCTCTGTTCAGTTTTTGTTGTTAGTTTCTTACCATGTGGGGTTTGTTTTGTTATGCCTACCTTTCTGGGTGCCTAACCCCAATCGATGGCAGATAAGGAAAAACCCCAACCACAAGGGGGTTTTCCAGGGCATTGCTCCCTGAAACCTCTTTGAAGGGGCCAGGTTCTGGCTCATGGTCCCTGGCAGGTCTGAACTCCTTAGCTAATGTCCCAGTCTAATATAACATACATTAACTCGATCAGCTCCAGGGAGCTGTAGGGGCTTCTCACAGAAATATATATCCTATTATTATGTCAATACATGGATAAATTACTAAGAAATATAATAATATCATTGTCCCTGTGAGATATGTTAGAGTATATAAGTTTTTTTTTTTTAAAGACTTGCCAGAGTCTGGAAAAAATCTTATTCTAAACCACAATACACATATTTTGCATTTTACCTTTCTATAATCTGGGTCAAATGAGAGCACAGCAATTGTGTTCCCAATTGCTGATGAAATAAGACTGAGGCTGTCAGCAGTACCTCCCACTACATGTCCCATTAAACTTTGTGCGCCTCTAGCAATTCCTTCAGCAAATTCATCAGGTCCTTCTATGATGCCCTGTAAATATACAACAGTGCATGAATTTTAGACCCCACAATAATCACAGGTGTGGGAAAGACCTAATATATGTGTAAGTGAATCAAAACCAAATTTTTGGATGCAACCTCCATCCATTCTCAAGGTGCTGAAAACAAGGTTCTGAACAAGATTCTAGATTTTGTGCATGTAAACACAATATACACTTAGTCGGTGGTGGACCAAAATCATGTTTTCTATCTTTCGGCTAATATGGTATATAAAGAAATAATGTTAAGAAATGGCGAGTGCAAATGTGAGGAATCAGGGTTTGAGTGTGGACAGCATATGACAAGTGGTGGAAAATAAGTTTAAGGTTAATAAATTTTGAGGAGGAGCAATTATATATAATTTTAAATGATAACACACAGGAAGCAATTTTGACCCTACTGTATGAAGTAGGTGGGCACTACTACGGCTGGTCGTCTAACGATACTGTAGTTACGTAATGAAAATCCCCCTGAACACCAGAAGTATCTCCTGATACTCCCTGTCACACTAAAACTATGCAAACATACCATGGAAATATTGGGACCCAATATGTAGAACTCCCTTTCTAATGAAGTAAAATTTCTCAACATAGACATTTATAATAGTAATACAAAGACATAAGTAGTTTGCTCACAATAGTACCCAACCTTGCTGACTCACCTAGTCCTTCACTATTATATCTAGATATACTGTAAACAAATAATTCATTATGTTGGGGGACGGGCAGCCAGAGTGTATTCATGAATGTTAGTCTTATATCGAGGCCCCCCACAGGGACAAATTACTGACCCTGCCCTGGATGCCACCCCCACAACAAGCTGTCTAACTCCTGAGTACCTGCTTACTGCTAGGTGAACGAACGGGTTATTAGATTATAGGAAACACGCCCAACTATTTCTGTCCTGGAATTCGATCCCGGAATTTTCGATTGTGAGTCGAGAACAAGCCCAACTGTATTGTATTACTGTAAAAAAAAAAATCGTTGAATGTAATGAAACTCCATTATCTGGATGAGACCTGGAGGCTTCCCGGAACTATACCGGGGTATTTATATATATTAGACCATGGCAACAGTCAATTGATGGAGTTCTTAGCCTACCGAGGACTTCGAATCAGAACCTGGACTCTGCGCAACTCCCCCCCTCCCAGGGAGGGGGGAGTTCATGCACCGGCTACCCAACCCCAGTTCAGAGGCTGAATATCAAAAACGTTAAAAACCGCCACCCGGAGGGAAGGTGGATTGCCGGGGAGCTTCCGGGTCTCACCCAGAAAATGGTGTTTCATTAAATTCAACGCTTGTTTTCTGTGGAGAGCCCCTCTGGCTTCCTGGAGCTATCTAACCAAAGATAAAGGAAAAGAGGGACTTACCTGAGAGACGGCCGCCACTTGCTCCTCAACTCGAAGTCGAGACAACTGACTGCAACCTGTGACCCACGGCTACACATGCCCGAGAAGGGCCTGGAACATTAACAAGGTACCATGCGGCCAGGACCCTGTTCAATCTCCAAAGCTTCATACCTGAATGTCAGCCCAGGACATATTACCAAAAACAGCAGCCAAAGCTGCGAACTTAAGAATGTCGTGAGCACGTGGATAGACCGCAGGCTGGCTGGACCGAATAATCCTGAAGACGACCTGGAAGATCCATACCCTAGAAGAGGGAAGAAGGGAAACTGGGTCAACCCAAAGCACGTCCCCTGCAACGGTGGTAGTGGCGTGCAAATAACAGCGAAGAGCTGCAACCGGACACAAAATATGATGCACCCCCTTTCAAACCAACCAAGCCACAACAACCCAAGGACCCCTCCGGAAAGCAGCAGTCTCATTCTTCGCTAGAAAAGGAGATGGTTGCAGGGACCAACCAAATGAACAAAGCGACGTTCAGAACCAAAAGAGCAGAAACCCCTGTGCCGAAGGAGAGTATGAACTCCCCAACCCGACCCCTGGAGGCCAATGCCAACAAGAAAAGAGCCTTAGAAAAAACCAGTGTTGAATATAATGAAACGCCATTTTCTGGGTGAGACCCGGAGGCTGCCCAGAGCTATCCAGGCTGATATTGCTAATATTAGACTTTGGCATCAGGCTAAGGGACCAGGGGCCAGAACCTGCCTCCCCCCCCCCCCAACCCCTCCCCGCAAAGAGGCACGAGGAGCAATGGCCTGTAGAAAACCTTATGTGGTTGAAAGCATTCTATGTCAGCCATCGACTGGGTCAGGCACCCAGAAAGGTAAGCATCCCAAAATAAACCCATATTCTGGTTAAGAAATTGCTAGTGAGAGCCCAACTAGTGGACAACACTCGCCAAACAAAAACGAGCAAACGAGCATGATGTAACCATGTCGCTGCACCGCCGTCTGCGCAGCTCCTCCCCTCCCCGAGAGAGGGTAGGGGGAGAACCAGACCCTTCGTACCGGCTACCCAAGACCCCAGTTCGGAGGTTGGATATAAAAAACATGCGAAAAACCTCTGACCAGAAGGAGGGAGGGTTGCTGGGGGCCTCCGGGTCTCGCCCAGAAAGTGGCGTTTCATTACATTCACTGCTGGTTTTCTGGAGGGAAGCCCTGCCGGCTCCCCAGAGCTACTTACCAAAAGACGAAAACAAGACGGACGTACCCGGGAGGTGGTCGTTGTCCGTTGCAACAACTCAAAGCTGAGACAACTGGCTGCAACCACAACTGGACACAACACATGATGTACCCCCGGCCTGACCAATCAAGCATCAACAACCCAAGGAACACTCCGGAAAGCAGCCGTCCCAGTCTCAATCTTCACCAGAAAAGAAGGATATGGCTGCAAGCAACAAACCTAGCACGAGGACCAAAAGAGCAGAAACCCATGTGCCAGGGGAGAGCATGAAGCGCCCTGACCCAACTGCCAGTGGCCAAGGCCAACAAGAAAAGAGACTCAGAAAAACAATCCAGAAGTGAAGGGGCCACAATAAACCGAAGAGAAGAGAGAAAAGAAAGCACCCAATTCAAAGACCAGGACAGCTCAAGCGGAGCATGAGCCGGCTAGAGGTGAAATAACGCACGTGACAGCTTGCAAAACGGCGCCGAAGTAACATCAATACTGAAAGCAAGCTGTAGCAGCTCCGCCAGCACCACACAAGATGAGACGACAGTAGAGTAGAGGTAAAGAAGAAAGCATACAGGATGCCCACCAGCTTGGAAGCTGCTAGTCATGTATCAGTTTAAGTATTAAAGTCAGTAACTAAGCAATGGCTTTATATCAACCCTACAACCAAGACTTCCTCAGCAACACACAACACCACACTGGTGTGTGTGACAGCTGACAGTTTTAGGATGATGATCCTGAAACAACCACGAGTGAAAGGACAAGACAACCCGAACCGAGAGCAAAGAATACCTACGAAGTGAGTGAAAGAAACGAAAGGACCACCAGGAAACTTCATACTGCCGCCGAGACGAAGCCTGCAAGTGGGACACCCTAAAGGATGCCACCTGAACACCATACAGATGGTGATAGACCCGAGTCAAAAAGACCAAACGCAAAGACTCGAGGAGAAGATCGAACCAGCCATGTGACGGACCGGACCGATCTGCTGAAAGAGGTGAAGCCGCGAGAAAACCTCCGGGTTTGGACACCAAGCAAGCAGCACCTGAAACCAAGGCTGGGCTGGAAACCAAGAGGCCAAGAGGACTTCTCTTCCCTGGTAAGTCTCCAAGTGAGCCCAAGACTTGGAGCAACAGCTGAACCGGGGAAAAGAGGTACAGGAACCCCAACCTCAATCAGTTTTGCCAAAAAGCATCGACCCCGACAGCGTCGCAGTCGGGGAAGGGTCCTACATATACCAGAAGACGCCTCGACCAAGCTGACGCGAAGAGATCCACATTCAGGTGCCTGAACGTCTGCAGAGCCAACTGAAGGTGTCTGTGACGACTGTCCATTCCGTGGACAGGGAACAAACCGAGACAGGCCGTCCGCCAGAATGTTGGACACCACCTGAACGTGAATTGCCAGGAGAGTCAAACCCCAAGAACTCAGCAGACGAGTCACCCAAAGCGACCAGCCCCAAATAACCAAGGACCACATCGAACCCCATGGTTCAGATAATGAACCACTGGGAGCAGTCCAAATGGAGCTGGATCGTTGATCCGGGGGTGACCTGAACCCTCCGAAGGGAATACCACACCGCTGCAAACTCCCACACTGTGCTGTGGGCTTGACGGAAGGATGGACCCATTGCCCCTGGCGGGCCTGGTGAGCACTGGTCACAATGCCCCCAGCCCAGAGACGCATCCAGGAACACATCGAGCGAGGGCTTAGGTAGGTGCCAAGGCACTGAACCCCAAAAAGCCCGAAGAGGAAGCCGGTGACGCAAGAACCGATGCAAGGCACCCGGTGGATGAACCCAGCAATCAGGAGAGAGGTGGAAGGGATGGCTCCGAAGAAACCAGAACAGCCGATGAAGCCAAACCCGACCTTGCGGGAAGACCATCAGGCAAAGTTCAGGCTTCCGCACAAACCCTCGAGCAACCACCAAGTGACCCGGGAGCCCCCAGAAACAGGCAAAGGCGGGACCGCAGCCGAAGGAGAGACTCCGGAGGGAGAGACAAGGAAGTGGTTCGAGAGCTCCAAACAAGATCCAGCCAAATCCGAACCTGAGAGGGAACTAAATGGGACTTCCTCCAATTCACCAGGAACCTGAACCCAGTGAGCTGGGAAAGAACCAAATCCCTGGCGAGCAGACATGCAGTCTGGCTGGAAGCCCAGACCAGCCAGTTGTCGAGGTAAGCCAGAACTTGAACCCCTAACAGAGGCAAACGGGTCACCACAACCCGGCTAATGCGTGTAAAAATGTGAGGTGCCAAATTCAAGCCAAATGGAAGGCAACAAAAGCAGTAAGCCTGCTGCCCCACGGCAAAACTAAGTCAGATCCCTGAACCCCGGATGAATTAGGACGTGCCAATACGCGTAAATGTACCCACTCCAGAATTACCCGACAGAGCGCAGGGAAAGAGGCCTGCCCGCCAGCCACGAACTCACCAAAGGAGGTGCCACCCAAAGCCACTGCAGGCTGGAAGAAATGACCCAAAATGCTCACGAAATGTGGGACCAGGCGTGAGCAAGCAGCACGAGTTTCCTCCCTCATCGCCCCCGTCAACAGGGCCAACCGTGAAAGAACCAATAACCCTTATGAGAGCCTGAACAACACTCAGAGCGAGCACTGCGCCACCAGATGTCGACGGCACTGCATGAGGGGCCAGTCCCAAATCTGGCACTGTTGGCTTACAATGACCAAAGGATCCCCGAGCCCTGGCATGACCCTTCCAGGCTCCCACTGGTTTCCTCAGAGAACCAACAAGTCTGACCTAGGACGGCAACTAGATGAAGGTGCCTGCAGAAAATGCCCTACTACAGAAGCTGCAAACAGAAACGGACAAAAAGGGGATGAAAATTTAAGAGCCAGAGCCCAAGCAGATTACAAGGAGTGGATGAGTATCACCTGTCGGCATGCGAGGCGAGAAGCAAAGAGCAGAGACACACCTCTTCCTGCAGAATCGGCGTAAACAACTTCAACAAGGCAGCCGATGCCTGAGCTGCCAAGGCAAGTGTACCGGACACAGGCCCAGAACCCAGCTCCTCCGCATCCTCCTTGAGCCAGTCCGAAGACAGCTCCAGGAGAGAAAAGAAGTGCAATTCCGAAGCCAAATGCCCACGGGCGAGCAAATTCTCGGCCACCAGGGATGCCAAAAGGAAGGGAATCGGCACGTGAAGCTGCACCTGGTCGATATTGCGACGAAGCACAGGGGCAAACAAGCACACATTGAGGTGCTCCAACTGGCCCACCAGGTAAACCTGAATGACTGTAGTCAACTACCGCCACTCAAGTGTGCAGGTCCGACAATGCATGCCATGTCTCCAACGAAAAGAAAGGGCAGTCTGCCAGCCAGAAAGATTCTGGCACCCTGTAACAAACCCAGTAAGGAAAAGAGGAGCCAAACTCAAAAGAAGAAGGATTCATTATTGAGGTGTAATCCGGGTCTCGCAGAAGGTAAGTCGCAAGGGCCTCCTGCACATCCCTCAGCGGGATGCGGGAAGCCGAAAACCTCCGAAAGGAGGGAACCGAGGAATTCAAGGGAACCTGGAACCGAACCCGTATCAAACTCGTACAGGGAAAGGGATAGGAAAACCCCTCACCCTGGAACAACATGCCACGTGCCGAGAGTACCAACACCCAAACAGAGTCAAACTGGGCCAAAGCCCCCAAGTTAACTCCTACCCAGCCCTAGAATCCTGTACAGCAAGACCTGGGGCCGAGCCGTCTTCCAAACCCTCTATCTCTGGAGAAAAGGCAGATTCCACTGGAAAAGCAGGGAAGAAAGGTACCCACTGGCATTACCCGAAAGCCCCGGCAGGAGGAACAGGCTCGAATGCCTCTGCCACCTATCCAGAAGGGGCAGTCCCCGAAGGCACCGAAGTCTCACCACCAAGAAAGCCCTGCCCTGACTCCGAAACCCTCAGACATTTAGGAGCTGAGAGCAGGGGATGGGGGCAGGGTGTAGTAGTGTGTAGCTGGGTGTAGCAGGGGAGGGGGGGATGGAAAAGGATGAACCACAATAGGGGAAGGACAAGGGGGCACAGACGAAACTAGAGTCGAAGCGACTAACACCTCTAGGTCCGGGTCCCTATAACCAAAGTGGGGCAGCTGCAGGGTAATCCGGAAAGGCAATTAACCTAGAGCGTTGCAGCAACTTAAATCATGCATGCAACGCAGATGCTGCTTGCACACAATCAACAGCCTTATTGGACTGGGTGAACTGGAGTACATGCAAGGAATACCACTCCTAAGATTCCAAGTCAAAAGTGTCATCGAACCCAACAGGCAACATGGCGGAGGCAAAGATGGTGAATGTCATCCAGATACAAGGGAACAGAGCAACCTTTAAACTCATATGGAGCGAGGTAAGACTCAAAGGCTCCATCGGATCAGTGAGCCCCAATGAGGGTTCCCAAGGCCCTTAGGCTGACTGCTAAGGGAAGCCCAGGCAAGGTACTGGTAACAGGTTATCCCAGAGCTACCACGCAAACAAACTAAAAGCTGAACCCTTGCAAAGTGTGCAATCACAGGGACCTAATGGAAGGCCACCAAAATCATACAAGTGGTCCTACAGCCACACCAGGCAGACCCCCACCAGGCAAAACAACACAAATGAAAAACCTCACAAAAGCACAACGTCCCCAGGGGAACAGAATCGGCCACTATGCATATATCAGACAGCTGCACGGTAGCTTGCGCCCCAGCCAGCGATGGTACTACCTCCTACCCAAGGCCAAACAGGAATAAGAACCACCTTAGCCGAGCCCAAAGGCGGGCAATTACTGAGCAGCAAACGAACCACATGGAGGTAGTCTCCCAAATGGCTTATGGAAGATAACCCTAAACCACACAGGCAGTACAGTATTTATAGGAGACCTAGGGAAGGTGGCCCTAGGCGCATGCAGCCCCAGTACTCTTGTGCTACTCCTGGCTTACACACCACCACACAGTAGAACAATACCGCTATGGACAGCACTGCTCAAAAGGATGCGCCAGAGTCAATCGACCATACACAAATGCCTCTGAACTGAAGTTGGGTAAGCGACGCAAGGGGGGTCTGGGGCACCACCTTCCTTCTCCCGGGGAGGGGAGAATTGCACAGACAGCGGCACGGGGGTTGTGGTGACATCATGCTTGTTTGCTTGTTTTTGATTGGGAGTTCTGCTTGCTAGTTCAGCTTTCAGTTTGCAATTTTTAACCAGCTGTTGTTTGTTTTGAAATTCGTACTTTTCTGGGTACTTGACCTGGTAGATGGCAGACATAGACTGCTTCCAATTACACGGGGGTGTCTATAGGCCATTAACCTACCATGGCTTTGTGCCCTGGAGAAACCAGAGCACAACTCCATAGTCTCCTGAGACTGATGGATTCCTACTATACTATAGGGCATTGCTCCTCGTACCTCTCTGAGGGGAGGCCAGGTTCCGGTGCTGGTCCCTGGTAAGCCTAGAACTCCATTGAGTGACTGTTGTCACAGTCTAATATTTACACATCAGCCTGGTATAGCTCCGGGGAAGCTGAAGGGGCTCTCCACAGAAATATGTCCTTAACAATTACACTACGAAGTTTTTACCAAAAACAGGTGCGCAGTGCAGGGGTTAAGGACATTTAAAGCCTCAGTCAACTATACTAAATCTAAAAGTCAAAATTAATTAAAATGCACATTAAAAACTGGGAAAACTTCCTTACCAAAGCTGGCTGGTATATTAGGTCTTTAACACCTTGGGAGAGGTCACGAAGTCTCTGATATGGGTTGCCAAGAATGTCTAATCCCAGAACCAATACATACACCTGATCACACAAAAACATAATACAGTATTAACATTTTATGCAGATCAGAATATTAATAACAGTACTACAAAACCTCACCAAATATTATTTGAATTTCAGATGCCAAATATAATGAATATTTTGAAAGTTTAATATATAAAAAATAGTCTGAGAAATTTTCTGGAACATGGGAAAAATTAAGCTTTGATATTAAAAGCTCCTTTCTGAGTATGAAACTTGATTGTCTCCAGAGATAATTTAATTTCTGTTTACATTGCAGAGGCTCATAGTCAGGGCATGACAGTATTCTGTACAATACAGAATCAATAAATATTAATTTATATGAAGTCTGGAGATGGGGGGGGAGGTTCCTGGTGTTGCCTGGATCTGTGTCTGTCTCCCATCTGAACATCTATCCATTCAGCTATCTCTCTATCCATGCCATCAATCTATCCATCTATTTTTCCATCTATCCATCTATCTGTCCACCTATCTATCCATCTATCTGTCCACTTATCTATCCATCTATTTACCCATCTATTTACTCATCTATCTATCCATCCATATACCTATCTGTCTATTCATCCACCTGTCCATCCATCTACCAATCCATATATCAATCCATTTATTCATCCATCTATCCATCCATCTATCTATTCATCTGTCCATCTATCCTTATATTTATCCATCCATCTATCCTTATATCTATCCATCCATCTAGCTTTCTATACATGTATCTATCCATCTCTCTACCAGCATAACAAGATTTACAATCATTTCATATTTTCTAAGTTATTTGTTGGGTTATAACTATAAATTGTGTGTGAAAATGTTCCCAAATAAATACTCTAAAGAACAGATGGAGGAAAACCCAGCATTGAATGTAATGAAACGCCATTTTCTGAGTGAGTCCGGACGCTCCCAGAGCTATCCAGGCTGATATGCTAATGTCAGGCTTTGGCATCAGTCATGTGTATGGAGTTCTGTGGGCCTACCGGGGACCACGAGCCAGAACCTGGCCCCCCACCCCTCCTCACAGAGGCACAAGGCACAATGGCCTATAGAAACCCCCGTGTGGTTGGAAGCATTCTATATCTACCATTGACCGGGTTAGGCACCCAGAAAGGTAGGCATCCCAAAACAAACCCCCTATTCTGGTCCAGTCCTACCAGCCTGCTGTCTATCCCTGTGCCCTCGTCATTCACTGATTGGCTTTGTGTTCCTTCACTGATGTTCCTGGGCCTTGTTGGGCCTGTGTGGCCTTGGATTGGCAGTTGCAGTTTTTGTCTTCGCGTTGGGGAGTGTGCGACTTCCGCCTCCCAGGTTCGGTCTCCCTTGTTTTCGTCTTTGGGTAGATAGCTCTGGGGAGCCAACGGGGCTCCCCCGAGAAAACCAGCATTGAATGTAATGAAACACCATTTTCTGGGTGAGTCCTGGAGGCTTCCCGGCAACCCTCCCTCCCTCCAGTCAGCATTTTTTTAGCGTGTTTTTGATATCCAGCCTCAGAACTGGGGTGTAGATGGCCAGTGCGGGGGTCAGGGGCTCCACCTTTCCCCTCTCGGGGAGGGGGTAGCTGTGCAGACGGCACCGTGGCGACATGTGACGTCATACTCTTTTGCTCGTTTCTGTTTGGAGAGTTCTATCCACTTGTTTGGCTTTTTGTAGCAATTTTCAGCAGAATAGGGGTTTGTTCTGGGATGCCTACATTTCCGGGTACCTAACCCGGTCAATGGCAGACATAGAATGCTTCCAACCACATGGGGGGTTTCTATAGGACATTGCTCCTCGTGCCGCTGTGAAGGGGGCCAGGTTCTGGCTCGTAGTCCCCAGTAGGGCCACAAAACTCCATACACATGATTGGGGCTAAAACCTGCATTAGCATATCAGCCTGGATATCTCCGAGGAGCTGACGGGGCTCCCCCCAGAAAAAATGTATTGATAATAAATTATGCATGACAGCGATGAATATATATACATGTGTTTTGTGAATAGCAATGGGATGAGGCATTTTAGGGTTATTAGAATGTTTACTGTTGGAGTAACTGTGAATGATGAAAATTGCATAAACTTTACTCTATATAGCTATAATTTGTGCAAATTATACTCTACAAATATTTAGTTTTGCTATTTTATGCATCTACTGTAAAGACATGTAATTATTTTTACCTGCTGGACTAGCTGATACTTGGCATGGTCTATAAAATCAACAACTAGCTTATCCCATGGGATTGATTGTCTCTCATAATGTCCAACACTGATTGTGACATTCTTCATCTGTTGAGAAAATAAAAAGATGCATGTTAAATAGCCATTTGTGAGCTAGGTCCTCCTCAGTAGCTCCCCCTAGCTTAAGACAGGAGTGTGTGTGGCTATGCCAAACTATTGGATGACCTTTTCGTCCATGGGACAAATACCTTTTCAAATATAGCCTGTCCCCCCTGCAAATAAGCAAGGAGAATGTGGAGAGCAGAGATTAATGCACTACCAAGAGAAGCTGCTCGATATGGCACCCAAAATTCCTCAGAATGCTCAAACTATATCCAAATGATTTCTGATAACACTGAGTTGCCAAACAACACAAAAAACCAAAGACCCACTGACTGCCCTGGCCACGATCCAGGGGTGGGCCTATTAACTTGCAGGTCGGGGAAATAGTAATTTACCAGGAGAGATTGCTTTTACTCTAAACTTAGGTCTGGCTTCCATCAAGATGTAATTATCTTTGAATAGGGGTTTGCTTTATTACATAATGATGGCTTCATTGATTATTCCTTAATGCTTAGCTGAGGTTGCTGTTGCCTAGTTATGGACAGCTCCTTTCTAGTTTGACATGTTTAGGGTTGTGCTTCGAAATAATAGTATTTCACTAGAATATCGAAGGACTGTGCTCACTGCCAGATTTGTTTTGATTGAGAAACATAAAACCAGCGTTGAATGTAATGAAACGCCATTTTCTGGGTGAGTCCCGGAGGCTCCCCGGAGCTATCCCAGGCTGATATGCTAATGTCAGACTTTGGCATCAGTCATGTGTATGGAGTTCTTAGGCCTACCGGGGACCACGGCCAGAACCGGGCCCCCTCAGAGAGGCAAGGGGAGCAATGGCCTATAGAAGCCCCCGTGTAGTTGGAAGCATTCTATGTCTGCCATCGACCGGAACAGGCACCCAGAAAGGTAAGCGCCCCAAAACAAACCCCTATTCTGGTTAAAATTGCTACCTAATACCGAACTAGTGGATAGAACTCCCCAACCGAAAACAAGCAAATTAGTGTGACGTCACACACTGCCGCGCCGCTGTCTGCGCAGCTCCCCCCTCCCCGGGAGGGGGAAGGGGGAGCCCCAGACCCCCCGTGCCGGCTACCCACACCTCAGTTCTTGAGGCTGGATGTCAAAAACGCGAAAAACCGCCGACCGGAGGGAGGGAGGGATGCCGGGGAGCCTCCGGGACTCACCCAGAAAATGGCGTTTCATTACATTCAACGCTGGTTTTCTGGGGGGAGCCCCGTCGGCTCCCCGGAGCTAACTACCCACAGACAGAAAAAGAGGGACTTACCCGGGAGGCGGTCGTCGCTCACCCCTCAACTCGAAGCCGAGACAACTGGCTGCAACCGCCGACCCAAAGCAACACAGGCCCGACGAGGGCCAGGGACATTCACAAGGTAGCGAGCAGCCAGGACCCTGTTCGACCGCCAAAATCCCCGCGCCCGAATATCAGACCAAGACATATTCCCAAAGACGGCAGCAAGAGCCGCGAACTTACGAACGTCATGGGCACGGGGATAGACCGCAGGCTGGCTAGACCTAATAACCCTGCGGACGACCTGAGAGACCCGAACCCGCGAACAGGGAAGAAGGGAAACCGGATCAACCCACAGCGCGTCCCCGGACACAGAAGCTGTGGCGCGCAAATAACGGCGAAGCGCCGCAACCGGACACAAAACATGATGCACCCCCGGCCTGACCAACCAAGCATCAACCACCCATGGACCCCTCCGGAACGCAGCAGTCTCATTCTTCGCCAGAAAAGAAGGAGACGGCTGCAAACGAACAAAACTATCACCACGACCAAAAGAGCAGAAACCCCTGCGCCGGAGGAGAGCATGAAGCTCCCCTACCCGACCCCCAGAGGCCAAAGCCAACAAGAAAAGTGCCTTGGAAAAACAATCCTGGACCGAAGGGGCCACAACGAAACGAGGAGATGAAAGGAAAGCGAGCACTCTGTCCAAAGACCAGGACGGCTCAGGCGACGCATGAGCAGGCCGGAGGTGAAACAATGCACGAGACAGCTTGCGAAACGGCGCAGACGTAACATCGATACCGAAAGCAAGCTGAAGCGGCTCCGCCAGCGCCGCACGATACGAAGCGACAGTGTTAGGCATAAGATGACGGTCCTGAAACAACCACGAGAGGAAGGACAAGACCACCCGAACAGACAAGGAGCTAACACGACGAAGACGCAAAAAGAAACGGAAGGACCGCCAGGAAACTTCATACTGCCGCCGAGAAGAAGCCCTCAGGTGGGACACCAACAAGGAGGCCACCTGATCACCATAGAGATGATGATAGACTCGAGTCAAAAAAACCATACGCGAAGACTCGAGGAGAAGATCGAACCAGCTACGTGACGTACCGGCCCGATCTGCTGAAAGAGGCGGAGCCGCGGGAAAACCCTCGGGTTCGGACACCGAGCAACCAGCGCCTGAAACCAAGGCTGGGCCGGCCACCAAGGGGCCAGAAGGACAACTCTCCCCTGGTAAGTCTCTAAGCGAGTCAGGACCTGGAGCAACAGCCGAACTGGGGGAAAGAGGTACAGGAACCCCCACCTCGACCAGTCGAGCCGAAAGGCATCGACCCCGACGGCCTCGCAATCGGGGAAGGGCGCCGCATAAACGGGAAGACGCCGCGACCACGCCGACGCGAAGAGGTCCACCTCGGGGCGCCCGAACGTCTGGCAAAGCCAACGGAAGGACTCGTCGTCGACCGTCCACTCCGTGGAGAGGGGAACGAAGCGAGACAGGGCGTCGGCCAAGACGTTGGACACGCCCCGTACGTGAACCGCCAGGAGAGCCAAACCCCGAGAACTCAGCAGACGAGTCACCCGAAGCGACCAACCCCAAAGAGACAAGGACCGCATCGAACCCCCGCGGTTCAGGCAATGAACCACCGGAGAGCAGTCCGAATGGAGCCGAATCGTCGATCCGCGGGCCACCCGAATCCTCCCCAGAGCAAACCACACTGCCGCGAACTCCCGCACCGTACTGTGAGCTCGACGGAAGGACGGATCCCAACGCCCCTGGCCGGCCTGGTGAGCACTGGTCACAAAACCCCAGCCGAGAGACGACGCATCCGTGTACACATCGAGCGAGGGCTCGGGTAGGCGCCAAGGCACTGAACCCCGAAAAACCCGAAGAGGAAGCCGGTGACGCAGCAACCGACGCAAGTCCCCCGGGGGTCGAACTCTGCGATCGCGAGAGAGGCGGAAGGGGGAACCCCGAAGGAACCAGAACAGCCGTCGAAGCCAAACCCGACCCGGCGGGTAGACCACCATCGCGAAGTTCAGGCTCCCGCACAGCCCCTCGAGCAACCGCCGGGTGACCCGAGGGCCCTCCAGAAACAGACGAAGGCGGGACCGCAGCCGCAGGAGAGACTCCGGAGGGAGAGACAAGGAGGCGGTCCGAGAGTCCCACACGAGACCCAGCCAAGTCCGAACCTGAGAGGGAACCAGATGGGACTTCCTCCAGTTCACCAAGAACCCGAACCCGGCGAGCTGGGAAAGAACCAAATCCCTGGCTAGCAAGCAAGCTGACTGGCTGGGAGCCCAAACCAGCCAGTCGTCGAGGTAGGCCAACACCCGAACACCTAGGAGACGCAAACGAGCCACCACAACCCGTGTAAGGCGTGTGAACACGCGAGGTGCCAGGTTCAAACCGAACGGGAGACAACGAAAGCGGTAACTCAGACGCCCCACTACAAAACCGAGCCAGTCCCTGAACCGCGGATGAATCGGGACATGCCAATAAGCGTCCCGGAGGTCCAGGGACACCATCCAAGCACCCGGCTCCAAGAGGAGCCGAACCTGAGACAGCGTAGTCATCCGAAAGGAGGGGCAATGAACCCAGGGGTTCAGACGGGACAAGTCCAGAATGAACCGCAGGTCCGCGCAGTCCCGTTTCGGAACCGGAAACAGACGGGAAACCCATCTGAGGGACGACGTCGTTTCGACGACGCCCAAGCGTACCCACTCCAAGACGACTCGACAGAGCGCAGGGGAAGAAGCCTGCCCCGCCAGCCCCGACCCCCCAAAGGGGGGAGGGGCCACCCAACGCCACCGCAGGCCGCGAGACACGACCCGAAAGGCCCACGAATCGTGGGACCAGGCGCGGGCGAACAGCGCAAGCCGCCCCCCCATCGCCCCGTCAAAGGGGCAAACCGCGAAAGGGCCGGCGACCCTTACGAGACCCAGAACCCCCGCACAGCGCGAACACCGCGCCGACCAGACGAGGGAGGGTCCGCAGGAGGAGCCAACCCCAAACCTGACACCAGAGGCCTACCACGACGAGAGGAACCCCGAGCCCTGGCACGACCTTTCCGGGAAGACCCACCCCGGGACCCCCGGAAAACCAACAAGTCCGACATCGGACGACAAGTCCGACATCGGACGACAAGCCGCCGACGCAGCCTGAATAAACTGCGCCACGGCCGACTCCCCAAACAGGAGAGGACAAAAAGGTGAAGAACGCCTAAGAGCCAGAGCCCAAGCAGATTCCACGGAGGAACCCAGCACCGCCTGCCGACACGCGAGACGGGAAGCATAGAACAGGGAAACCGCATCCCGCAAAATCGGCGTGAACAGCTTCAACAAGGCAGCCGACGAACGCGCAGCCGAGGACAAGGTGCCGGACCCCGGGACGGACCCAAGCGTCCCCACATCCTCCACGAGCCAATCCGAAGACAGCTCCAGGAGGGAAAAGAACCGCAAGGCCGAACACAAAAGGCCCCGAGCGCGCAAGTCCTCCGCCACGAGCGCCGCCGAAAGGGAGGGAACCTGCACATGGAGCTGAATAACGCCCACATCGCGGGGAAGGGCAGGGGCAAACAAGCACTCATTCAGGTACTCAAGTTCACCCCCCAGGAAAACCTGAAGCACCGTGGAAGCTTCCCGCCACTCCAGCGTGCGGGAACGACAGAAGGAATGCCAGGAATCCAGACCAAACAAGGGGCAGTCTGCTAGCCAGGATGACTCCGGAACCTCGTAACGGAGCCAGAAAGGGAACGAA